AGGGCTGAATCCTCCCACTGCCCCCAGATCCCAGACAGGCACGCCAAAACATGGAATATTATTGCAGTCAGTCTATGCTGTGGGGAAAACCAGTGTTCCAGGCCAGAGCCCAACCCTTATGGAGCAAAGTGCATAGAGAGGAGGAGGGGACACGACTTGAGCAAGGGAAAGGAAAGATTTAGAAAGACAGGATTTGCTCGTAAATAAAGCCAAGCAGATACCTTTGGCTCCAGTATCCAGAGACTGTAGGAAAGGTGTAGGAACTGGCTGGGAGGACACAGCAGGGATGGATCCTGGCCTGTTTGCACCCTGAGGAGTGAGATCCAGCAGCCCTTGCCTGTGGGTGAGAGTCCCCACTCCTGCTCACCGTGCCGTTGGGCTCTTCATGTGCCGCTGGGACCTCTCTTGGCAGCACAGTGCTGGCCCTTGAGCCAGGAGGGTGCTGAAAAACTGGTTTCCAGCCCAGTCTCATGATGGCAGCTCGTAGAGCTGACTCAGGCAGGAGAACAGACGGGTGAGTAATACCCACTGTGCCTGCAGGGAGCCCTTGACTAAAATAAAGATCCCCACCCTGCGTGTCCTGGTGTTTCAGACTTACCCACAAACTCCCACATTTGTCACTTGGGCTTATCTGTGCAGCTTTAACCAGAAACCACCTCCTGATCACAGCCTGGCTTGGCAAAACCTCCTAACATGTACCTGGCAGCTCTGTACAGCTGGAGGTGCTGTGATGTGACCATATCAGCCAACACGAGCTGCTTACCAGCAACCACTGGCTCTGCTCCCAGCTGCTCTGGGAACAGCTGGAGCCAAACATCACCCCAAGCCTCCTGCCACCTCCAGCAGTGCTTGTGAAGGGAGATGGTGCTGTGACACAAAGCTCATAAATCACAGTGTCCATCACGTGGCAGAGAAGCACTTTGACTGTCTGTGGCTCAGAGAAGAGCAGGGAGTCCTCGTGGTCCGTGAAGGAAGGCACACACACCAGCCAGGCTGGTTTAACCCCAGTCCCTGTGTCTGCCCAGTGCATCCTCCCAGCTGGAGAGAAATTAATGCAAAATACTGATTTTTATGCAATAGGTCACATGAAGTGAGAGCACAATCTGGGCAGAATACTGTGGAGGAAGAGAAGGGTTCCATCTCTTCCTTTGTCTGGAGGCAATCCTAGGCAAACACACACAGGATGGGGTAATGGAGTAATCCTTACAGGGTAAGGATCCTTAATCCTTAAGGACGGGGTAATACTTACAGGGTAAAGACCTTCCCCAGCCCCCAGGGAGAGCAGCAAGATTTCAGGGCCGGCAGGAGGAAATCTAAGCAGGACCTGCAGTTCCTGCAGCAACAGCTTTTTTGCATAAGATCTCATAGCACTTTGGAAATCCTCAAGTTACACCACAGTCCCTGAAGGAGGGAAACAGCTGAGTTTTCAGTGCAGGAAGCAGGCACAGGGGACAGTGAGAGACACTCAAGCAAATTGCCTAAGTCACATCAAGGAGACTGAACTGTATGTGGTGGTAGAAAATTTGTCTCTGTCAAAGGCTTAACTGCATCCAACTCTAACTGTTCCCTATGTCCCCCTAGATCCAACACTAAGGGTTCTCTGTGCCCCCTCTTTTCCTTCAGGAGTACAATGCCATCCAAATACTAGAATTTAATGGTACCAATCTGCCTTTCACATGACAGCCTTCTGCTGCACAGCTGGTTAATGATTCCAGCAGGGACCAGACCTGGAGACGTGTTAATGCACAACATTTCCTCCTGCCCTACTCTCACCCCACTTCCAGAGCAGCAGCAGACTCCAGATTGCACTTCCCTGCTTTAATATTTAAAGCCTTCTGCGTGGGCAGCAGGACCAGCTGACCCTTCCATCCTCCCTAAGCCCTTACCCTGGGGGAGCACAGCTCCCAGCTCCCATCAGGGAGATGGCAGTGAGTGCTGAGTCTGTCAGCCAAATTTGGGGATCCAGGCAGGGATTCTCAGTGGCACCTAGAGATGTGCACCCTTGAAAATCTTACTGCTCCACCCAGCCCAATACCTGCACGACCCTTTGCTGACTGCGGCTTGCACAGCCTTTTGGTCCCACAGCTTCAGCGTTCCCAGAATTTGCTTCACTTCCAAACACACCAGGACTATGCTCAGTCTTTATTTTGGCTTGCTCCTCCTCCCCTCCCCACAGACCATAGCCAGCTCCAGCCTGAGGGAACAGGAACATTCAACCCCAGACCACTGTGAGCAGCTCACAGCTCAGGCCAGATTTAGCTCACTGACACTCATGCTGAGGAAAGGTATATTTCATTTATTCCAGCCTGACTCATCCTTCTAAATATATTCTCCTTTTTCCAGACAGCAAACCTTATGGTTTCTCTGCAGGTCTTGCTGCTTGTCCACACTAGGGGAAAAGATTCAGCTTGAACCATGGAGCAGAGTTCCCATCAGAGCAGATGTCTCAATGCTTCTCTCTTAAGCTCACTTAGCTGAGGGAAGATTTTAACAAACCCTCATGGATTTGCTCTGATCATGGCCTTGGAGCTGCACAGGGAGTGGGGCTGGGCAAGAGACCTGGAAAGTTCATGCAATCTGTTTTCTAGGATTCTCTGTCTGGGAGTAGAGGGTAACTGGAAAGGAGCCAGGACAGAGGTTACTGCAGCATCTTACAGTTGGACTGATGTGACTGAGGAAACCTTGAAGTAATTTCGTTCACAAAAAGGGATTTATTCTGTTCCTGTTTTCTCTCTTAATGCTCTCCTCCTCCACCCATCTCTTCTGCAGGAAAATGCAAGTGGCTCAGCCAGCCTTAAAATACAGCAAAGCAGCCATGTGGGATGTGGGAGTTAAAGGAATTAAGGCAGCTAGCAGCAGCTGGGAAGAGAAATTAAGCCAAGTGAGGTTTGGATGTTACCTGTAAAGCAGCTTCTGAGTAACTCCTGTCTGACAGGTGTCAGTGCAAAGCAGAGGGACTGATGAGGACCTGATCCCACGTGGAACACTCCTCTCCTGCCCTGCCAAGTGAGACTGACACACCTCAGAGGGAGGAACAGCTCTGCAACTGCTGCTGGAGCACACCCAGGAGCAAGGAGCTGCCAGAGCAACTCCCTACTTTTCCAGGGAGAGGAGCTGCCAGGTGGAGCACAGCTGAGAGAGCTCTAAACTGAGAACTACCAGTGCATCTCAGCCACAATTACAGGGAAAAAGGATAAAATCAGGGACTGCTACTAGAGACAGACTACGCTGTGTCCAACTACTTCTTGCAAAGGAAAACAGTCAATAGGTTGCAACTTCTACAAGGACAACTGGTCTGGAAAAAACAGCTGGTGACACACCTGGGTAAGATGCAAAGCAGCTGCTGCAGCAGCTTCCAGCAGGAACTGAGAAGTGACTTGCAGTGACAGGAACAATGTCATTTTCATTTCAAAAAGTCAGTCAAGACACATCAAGTGACCAACGAATAGCCACAATCCAAATCCAAGTGATTCCACTGTTTAGTTCTCCCTCTCCCTATCCAAAAGCACCAACTCTGCCCACTCACACAAATGCACACCCTGAGTTTTGGGCTGATTTCTCTTTACTTCACAGTCTTGGCAAAACAACTCTGCATTCAAAAAGTCATTTCACATTAATATATTAATAATCAAACATTTTCAAAATAAATATTTGTTTTTAAATAACATTTCTTTACATCACTTCAGCAGCGATCCTAGAAAAGTCAGTGCACAGACAGTAGCAGTTTCATTACTCAGCTAGACTCAGACAAAAAGAAAATAAGAGGTGGATCTTTCCTCTCCCCGAGCAGGCTGCATGCAGCAAGTCTCAGCACTTCCCTAGCACAGGGTCCTTCCTCACACTGCCTGGGAAGGATTTTTCTCTCTCAGAAGTCAGTGAAGTGTGACTTGTGCAAAGCTTCGTGCAATGCAAAGTTTCACACCCCAGATTTGGTCAACCCTGCAGAGGTTCTGCACTGGAGTGGTTGCTAGTGAGATCAATGAGTCAAAGCTACAGAAGGAAAACGCTGGATCCCTCGGTCCAAGGAGTTCACCATCAGGTGATTTGGGAAGTAAACTCACAGCTGAACCAGGAATACAAACAGCAGTAACATTCAAACCAGCAGCTCAGTTGTACCTTATAGCTTATTCCAACAGTTTGCATAATCTCTCAAGTGCTTCCAAGGAAGAAGTAAAGCAACTACTTTCTCCTCCCCATTAGCTGTTCCTTACCCAGGTAAATCCCAGCAGTAAGATGCTTCACTGGCCAAAAAGTGTAATTTGTGTTACAACAAAACAAAAAGTGCATTATAGACTATAAACAGAGTATCTGGGATTTAGTAAATTTGAGCCCAAACATTTAACTGGAAAAAAGAGACAACAGAAACATTAGTGTTCCCATGGGATCTAAACTAGTCAGATGCTACTCAGGAACCCTGTAGAGCAGTGTGTGGGGTGAGGAAGGAATGTCTGTCAGCATTATCCTACACAGGGCACAGCAGGAAAATTTAGGGGCTCCCAGATTATTGGCTGATTGTCAGGAATGATTTGGCTAAAAAAAAAAAAAACCAAACAAGGAAAGCTGAATATATATCTGGAAAATGTAATAAGTATCCATTTCCTTTGATATCCCACAGGTTCCCCTTGAAGCCCTTTCTCAGTAGCAGAGGGAAGAGTTAGATGTGATACTCTGGATTGGGAGGAATAACCAGAGACATCCCTGTGCCCAGACATGCTCTGGGATGCACACCAAGGTAAATTCAAAACACCCCCTGCCCCCTCAGGATCCTTGTTTCCATGGCACGGGCATGTTAATTCCCAGTTTGGCGCAGGTGCTTACTCTGAACAGGTATCACTTCAGTATCAAAAGAAACAGAGTTAAGGGAAGCAATTGCAGATGAGGAGAACTTCCAGTTGTAGGGATGTCATGCACAGGGAGGAGGGAATGCTGCAGGATGGCAAACCCTCAGAGCTCCACAAGGAGGAGGGAATGCTGCAGGACAGCAAACCCAGAGCTCCAGAGGTGACCCAGGCTGCTGAAATCTCTCCCCTTGCCCTGCACAGACCTCCTCCTAGAGCCCCTGCAAGCAATGTGCCTTGGGGGAAGGCTCTGCTCCGCAGTGCTATGGACTGTGCCCCAAAATTTTGCCAAAATGGAAAGTAAGAAAGCAATGAGTCATGGAAAAGTTCTGTGTCAGCTTATTGGTTTTTCTTGTCCTCTGGTGGGTAGTATGGAGGAGGTGGTGGCTGGTCCTGGAATAAAGACAAGAGAACATTAATTCATGGCTAAGAAAAAATGAAACTCAAAACCCTCTAAAAAAACCCCAAGATACCAAAATCCATTCAGACAAACTTTGCTGTGCCACAGAGATGAGAACTGTCAGACACACACTTGGGCTCCCCCTGCAAACCCAGAAGGAAGCAGGAACTCACCGTGGGCATGTAGACATTATGTGGGTTGCCTGGGCTGTAGTAAGCACTGGCAGCAGCCTCAGCAGCCTTAGCTTCAGCTGTAACAGAGAGAGAAGTGACAGGTTTGGTGACACACACAGAGAGCTCTTACAATCAAACTGAAACTCCACGTTCCTGGAAATCAAGTGTTACTAACAGGGCACAGTATGATCAATGCCTGAGTAGCAAAACAGCTACAACACACACAGCTGAGCATTATCTCTTCCAGTTGCCACAGAATCATCAAGTCCCCATGAAACAAAGCAAGATTTAGTTTGGAAATGTCACTGGGACTTGCCTGTCAGCCCACAAATAAATGCTAACTGCCTGATACAGACAATACCTCATAAAAAGGCAGTGAGCAAACCATCCTTCCTGAGATGAGAGCACAAGGCAAACCCAAAATCAGCACAAGTTTCTAGCGGCTCAGGGGATTTGTCTTTTCAAGATGGTAATTTATGAGGATGATGCAGATCCTCTGTTTCTGCAGAACACAAAAATCTTGTACAACCCTCTGGAGCAGTGCCACTTTCCAAATAATAGCTCAAAGATGAATGGCTGTTTATTCACAGCAAAGAGAGAAGTTAAATCCTTAGCCAGAGAAATATCTTTATCTGCAAGAGATCTGTGGCTGTGTCCAACCACAAAAGCTCTTTCCACCCCCACCCACCTACAAAGGTCATGTTCAAAGCTGTTTTAATACATCCCAAAAGAGTGAAAAATGAGCCTGATATTTCCCCAGCTCCTTTCCATCTTCTCTTCCTGTGTTCTGTATTGTTTAAGCAAATATAATCAGCTGAAACAGGGGGAGTGAATATCACCCAAGCCATATTTGCCAATTAAAATGGACTAGAAACACATTTCACCATCAATTTCTTTGTGTTCATCCATTAGAGCAAAATTACCACCACTGGAGAACCACAAACTGTGTTTTTTCTATCAAAGGAAGAATAAATCCAGCTGTAAAACACCCACTAATGGTGTCTACCCTGGAGAGAAGCAGGTTTGGCCTCCAGATTCAGGTGGAGATTAGGGGAGCTCCCTAACCCCTCTCCTTAAAAATTTTAACTACTCAGTGTACCTTCTGAATTCCCCAGAAGATAACAATGTTTCATGTGAGCTAATTGTCCTGAACACACTGCTTACCTGCAGGAGTGGAAGGCAGGTCTGGACCACTCACAGGGGGTTCCATGGGCCCTGGGTATGGTGGGGGTGGGAGCTGCATGTAGCCCATGTCTCCATCAGCCACAGGAGGGCCAGGATAGAATTCTGTCAGGAAAGGAAATCACCCAGCAAAAGAGTTAATTCTTCCAGGTGGAGTTACACAGCCAAAAGAAGCCAAGACAAACGTAATTAAGCTCAGAATCAAAAGTTCCACAAGGGACCGGATCCAATCTAAGCAACTGTGTAAAATCTGTGTTTCTTCCCCTTTGTACCCATTTTAAGTCTTACTAGAGTGATGACTACCCTCAATTCCCAGACTTACCAGGAGGAGGTGGTGGGTATGGGAAGCCCCCATTGGCTGCAGGTGGTGCAAAGCCATAGGATCCATTTGGCATGTAGGAATAGCCATAAGCTCCACTGGGTATTTCACCTCTGGAGACTGGAAAAGGAAAGACAAGACCTCACCAAAACATCAAATGCAGGCCAAGAACTCCAACAAACTGAGAGTCCTACTGGAAAAACAATGAAGTGTCATCTCAATAAATCTGCTGTTCACTGGATGTGAATGAAGTATTTTTAAAGTAAGCTTCAGCTACAGCCTGAACTCACACAGATTTGAACCCAACCTGTTTGTTGCACCCTAAAGCTACCCATGCTGTGAGATGAAGGCAAGGCCTCCTGGACCCCCCAAATCTCTGGCAGACACTCCCAATGCCATACCTTGTGATGCCACCTGCAGCATCCTCTGCCCAAACTCGATGGCACCCCCAGCTGAAAAGGTCATCTTGAACGTGGCAGATCCTTCCCAGCCACCTGAGGAAGGAAAGACAGTGTCCAGATCAAGGAGAAGCCATTTCCATGCTGTTTAGATTCCAGGCTGTATCTTCACATGTCCTATATATAACTCTTTAAAGAGCAAATCCCCAGAATCCAAGGAAAAAATAAAATGCAGATGAAGTGGCAGAATTACCCTATCATCAGAAAAATTCACACTGGGGTTTTGCCAAGGGACACCTGAAGAAGAAACATCCATGAGGGAGGACCTTGAAGAATTTGTGGCTGTGGCCCCCCCAGCTGCCACAGGCTGAGCTATCAGAGGCACTGGATTTGCTCCTGCTTTGGATAAGATTAGTGCAAAAGACAGGGATTCTGTTAATCCTGTTTGCTAAAAAGCCTTTGCAACTACACCTAACTGTCAGCTGCAAATTAGTTTGGGAGTTTGAGTGCCCAATGAAGCAAAGAGCTTAATGAAAAACATGGTCCACATAAACCCATTAGAGTCCGTGGAAGATATTTCATGTCAGGATAGTAATAATAAAAAAAAAAAAAATAAAAAAATTAGTGACATCTCACATTACAGAATCAAGAAGGAAAACATGCACAGCCCAGAGATCCAACAAAGCATCAAAGCAGAGGCTGTGGCAGTGCTGAAACAGAAACAAGTAGATTAAAGAGCCTTTTGAGCTAAACCAGAGTCTCATGGCTGTTCAGGCAACATCAGTGCTGGAAGAGATGTCTCTGGGGAAAATTCCCAACGATTTAGCTAAAGCCCTTTGCCTTTCAAACAGTTCACTTTGTCCCTGCTGCTCAGGGTCACTCTCACGCTGGATGGTCCCACTCTGCTCCCACAGAAGCTGCAATGCTGATTTCAGAGTCACAGCTGAGGTCTGCTGGGATTTCTGTGCCACAACTAACTGAACCAAGCTGAGGATGAAAGTGTGCTGAAATGTGTTCCTTTGGTACAAAAGGGAAGTATTACAGGGATTAAAACTATTATTACTGAAAATGTCTACAACCTTCCTTGGACAATGCAAAACAGCCCCTTGGAGATTCCCAACTTTCCAGAAGTCCATTCTCACTGCCAGGATGCACTACAGCAATAGCACAGCTGTCCCTGAACTGCACAAGAACAGCACTCTGGGGATCTGCATCTGAAAACCCAAGCCAAGCCAGGAAGGATCCGAGTCTCTGGCATGAGAAGACCTGGATGCAGGTGGGACAGGTGACCCCAAGTGACCAAAGCCAAGTGACATGTCCCTCTTCCTGACTCCACTCTGATGTTTACTCACTGAGATCACTGACTGAACTCAGTATTTAGCAGAGGGTAGGAATGAGAGGGGTTGCAGAGCAGATTTCTCTGTAACTGCACAGGAAGCTAACAAAAGGAATGTTTTTAGCTGTCAGTTTCAAAGAGAGAAACACATTTTAGCAGCACTGTGAAAACCCATTTGGTCAGTGTCAGTTTTACCCAGGACTCTGCTATGAACTGTGCAGCTGAACTGAGGTCCAGAACACACCCTGTAGGATACATACCTCCTGCCTCTGCTTTCACTGTGCCCTTGATGTAATTGGCTCCGAAGACAGGCTGCTTAATCTCACAGTCCTTCAACAAATAAAAGGGCATCACGAAAGACTGCATAGCATCCTTCCCCTTTGATACAAAGATAACCTGGAGAGAGAACAACACCACAGAGGCTGCTCAAAACAAACAGGAGACACAGCTCTGATTTATTATTGGACTGAAACTCCCTCCCACATCAGCTGCTCTGCAAGCCAAAAGCTCCCCAGAACAGCCACAGGGGTGACCCAAAGCCTGTGAGGCCTTCCAGTAGGACCCTTGCTCGGGGAAGACTCCTCCAGCTTTCAGAGAACTCACTGCTCCACACAGCTATGATTGAGCAGCTGAGTTGTTGCATTCAGCATTTCCAGACCATTGCTAATTTCCAATTTGGAGGTGCCTGCTAGACTAAACAGCTGCCCGTACAAGAACTAATCAGATTTATTATCTTCTGCAAAATAGATAGAATATTCAATGAATTCATAATGCTTCCCAGAGGGAGAGGATGAGCCACACTTCAAGCAGGAGTAGATTATCCTGACTTTCATGCAATGAGGACATTTAAATACAGCATGGCAGAGAGCCCTTATCTCCTTACACAAGATAAAGCTTTTCACCACTTACTCTGTAGGGAGTCAGGAAAACACTCCCTTTCTTGGTTCCTTTGAAGGCCTCTGGAATTGGCTCCATGTCACTGAAGGTAATTTCCACATGGTCATAGGTCATCAAAACACTGCAAAGGATAAGAGGAGGGACAAGTGTTACAGCTCAAGGCAGAAGTGCAATATGAACAGAAGTGCAGTGACCTGCCAAACCTTCCTGTGACCTCAGGGCTGTGCTGGGCTCACAAAATCAGCCTGGCTGGCAGCACTGGCTGCTTGCTCCCTCCTCAGTGTGCTGACACAGCTGCTGCTGCCTGTGCACCCAGGGAGTCCAGTCAATTGTGCTGACCAAAATCTCAAGACAGATTTTATTATTTATTTTCTCTAAGTTGGGCATTTCTGCTGGGTCAGTTCCCTAATTGGGCTCACCACAAGTAACATGACAGAGGAAGGGCTGCAGAAGCAGGAACTGCTCAGGGTGCCTTATGCAATGAAGCTGTTGAAGGTCTCAGCACAGCTTGAGGTGCTTGGCACCTTTATCACAAAAACATGCCCAAGAGGAACTCTCCTTTCTTGCCACAACAGTTCATTAACCCAGGCTGCCTGCACTGATTCCTTAACCCTCAATTAGAAACTGACCTGATTAAAACCAGGGCAGTAGCCCTGCATGGGCACAGCAGGTAACCTGTAGCCACATTAGGACTCTAATCCCCAAAGCTGCAGAAACCTCCACCACTATCTTGGGCAGCTGATGACACATTTCCAACCTCAGTCACTCGCCTCTCCCTTCCGCCAGTGTCCCTCCAGGAAAAGCTTGGGAAAGGCAGTAGGAGCAGCACAGAATCACAGGACCAATTTGGTTGGAAAAGACCTCTGGGATCAGTGAGTCCAACCCATGACTTAACACCTCCATATCAGCTAGACCATGACACTAAATGTCGTGTCCAGTCTCTCCTAAACACCTCCAGGGATAGTGACTCTACCACTTCCCTGGGCAGCACATTCCAGTGTCTAATCACCCCTTCTGGGAAGAAATTCTTCCTAATGCCCAACCTCAACTTCCCCTGGTACAGCTTAAGGCTATGTCTTCTTGTCCTGTGACCTGTTCCCTGGGAGCTCTGTCCAAGGCTATGTGCTCTTGTCTTGTCAGTCTGGAAGCAATGTCCAGGCTGCAGCATTTCAGCTGGATCAACTCCCACAAGCAGTCTGGGCTGCCCTGAGAGACTCCAGGCCATGGAGGCCCTTGGATCCCCCCAGGGACCTCCAGCCCTGACCCAAGGCAGGCTGACACCTGGGAAGAGCAACACCTTCAGCTGCTGCAGTTGTTTCAATGAGCACAAATTTACCTTCCAGTGTTAGTCTAGCTAAATCCCTCTAAGAAAAGCTACACCCCAAATGGAAGTAAGGCACCGAATTCCTACACCAAGGTTTCACCGGCCACATGGAAAGAAGCCCTGAGGAATGAACCACTCCTTTGTCCCCAGGCAGATGACTGCCACGTCAGAGCCAGGCTGGCAGCAGAGGGTGCAGACAGCCCTTGCACACAGAGGCAGCTCTGTGCAACCTTCCCGTTTCCATGGTTATACCCCAGCACCTCTTTCCAGCACACGGGCAGGGTGTGTGCTCAGCCAGCAAACCACACTGGGCAGGCACTGCCCGAGGGAGCAGCACTGGAAGTGAGTGAGGCACAATGCAGCATCCCCCAGGGACCCAGGCCAGGGTCACCTGGATGGGTGCTGAGCTCTGCCAGACCTCACTGAGCACTGGGGCTGGGGGCAGCAGGCAGGGACAGGATGGGTGCTGGGGGACAGGATGGGTGGGCGCTGGGGGAGCAGCATGGAGGGGTTGGAATGGATCTTACAGACCATCCAGTCCCAACCCCTGTCCTGGGCAGGGACACCTCCCACCAGAGCAGGTTGCTCAAGGCTCTATCCAACCTGACTTTGAACATTGCCAGAGTTAGTGCATCCACAGCCTCCCTGGGCAACCTGTGCCAGTGTCTCCCCTCCCACCCGCGTAGCGAGCCGAGGAGAGCCCAC